CCATGACTGTCATGTTTTCATGCAACGCCTTATACCAATTGCATTTCGAGAGATGTTACCGAGTACAGTGTGGCAAATAGTTGCTGAATTGAGTCAATTCTTCCAAACTCTATGTACTCGTGTTGTAGATTTTACATTACTTCGACAGTCAGAGAAAGTTTTTCCGCCTCGGTTCTTTGATGTAAGTGAACATTTAATCATCCACTTGCCATTTGAAGCTAGAGTTTGTGGTCCACCACAATATCGTTGGATGTATATGTTTGAGAGGTAGATATCATTTTAATATTTTAGGATATATTATTGCTTATATGTTCTATACATTTTTTAATATGACCATTGCAGGTTTCTTGGAACTCTAAAGAAGAAAATAACAAATAAAGCACATATTGAAGCATCAATATGTAGTGCATACATTGATGAAGAGTTGTCAACCTTTGCCTCATATTACTTCGACTCCTCTATACGATCCAAACGTGTGCGTCCGGCTCGACACGATAAAGCCGCCTCTGCTTCAGGGATGATGGCTATTTCGATTTTCAATAATCCAGGTCGTGGTAACGGGAAATCTAAGAAACGATTTATCGTAGGAGAAGAATTGAAACTTGCGTACACGTACATCTTACTCAACTGCGCAGAAGTTCGACCTTATTATGAGTATGTGTTCTCACTTACATGCGGTATTAGTTATACTTTTAGTGAGTGACACAACTTAATTAAAGTGTGACCTTTTAATTAAATGAAAGTGTGGCTTTAAGTATTTGTGAAAATGAAATAGGTGTAATTGAGATTGTGTTTGGTGTGCATTGAAATGGGTTTTGAACTGAAAAGCAGGATTAGAATAACCTCTTTCCGGTGATTTTTTTTGGGATTGGTCATTTTGCGACGGTAAAAACCGTCTCTAAGATGCTATTATTTTTTAAATAATTGTGCAGTTTAGTGACGGTAGAAACCGTCACTGATTGGGACGGAAATAACCCTTTCAAAATCCGTCGCTAAGAAAAAAAATCATCGAAACGTTCCGTAAGTAAGATTTCCGACCAACGTATTCCAACGGGTTTTATCCGTTTCAAAACCGTCCCTGTTTTTTTCAGCAACGGTTTTTCATTGTTTTCCCGTAGCTAAAACCGTAACTAATCAATTGTTTTTTTGTAGTGTAAATAGTATTTAGTTTTATGAAACTAATAAACTTTTGTGAAGAAAAGTTTATAAAAAATTAGCAATGGAATTAATAAAAATTAAATAAATCAAAACCTATGAAATTTAGGTCCTAGATTGATAGTTTTTCATCATTCGGTCCTATATCGATAGATCTCACTTTTAGGTCCCGAATTGATAATTCATCTATCTTTCGGGTCCTGAATTGATAAAATTTCTTTTTCTTAATTTGGGTCTCATTTACTGTTTTGAGATTGTTTGTCTCACTCCAATTAAAAGTTTGTATTATAACATAGCTTTGTGTAATAATAATGAAATACTCCCTCATCTAAGTCTAAGGTTCTCACGTGTCATTTTCACACGTTTATGCTCAATGTTCTCATTTATTTTCCAGAAAATAATTAAAATTTCTAAATGATAACTTAATCACCAAATACTAAAAATAATACATCTATAACATTACAACTATTATCAATGATATCATTATATTATATACTCATCAAAACTATTTTTTAAAATATACCCGCATACATGGAACGACTCATTTTATCATGGTAATATTTTTTGTATCAATATAATGAATAATGTTTTTAATTAATAATTTACATGCTATGATTTTTTAGTATGAATTAATATTTTTTTTCAAAAATTCATGACTTGACATCCCATTTTGATAAACTAAGAGCATCTCCGATGCAAAAACATGAACCATGCATACGTGGTATTGGAGATACCCAATTAAAAAATAACAAATAGAATATCTCTCTCCTTATTTGAACGATCTTATATGTTTTTGGTAAGTTTTTCTCTACAATGTCAAACACAATGTCTAGATGTAGACATTGTGGTTGACATTGTTGAGAAAAACTTACCAAAAACACATAAGGCCGTGGAAAGAAGTAGAGAAAAATGTCATTAATTTAATCTTTTCTGTCTATCTCTCTCATACCACATGTGCACCGTGCACATTAGAGCATTGAAGATGCTCTAATGCACACACTATATTGGATGATGTAGAACAATATTATCATATGCACATTTTCTTCATACTCATATGGTAAATTATTAATATTAATTAAGACTCCGTACGTCCCGCTAAGATTGTCTCATTTTACTTTTTCGGGATATCCTACTAAGATTGTCACATACCAAATTTGGTAAAATTTGTGTGGCTCTAAATTATTTTTACTTTATTTTTAATTTATCAATTTAATATCAACTACATAAACCCACTTTTCTTAATACTTGTATCACTCCCTCTTATCCCAATGTTAGTTGGATGGAGGTAGTAACAATTATTTTTAATTTATAGAAACATGGTAAAACATATGAAAGAGTAATGATATTCAATTTGATAGAAAAGTAATTAATAAGGCAATCAATAAGATATAACTAGAACTCATCATCAAATGACATGTGGCTATGCATTGTAATAGAATGACATGTGGCGAATATTTCCTTCAATGTGACTCTCAATTGTATAATATATAGATATAGGTATAAATACCAAATTTGGTAAAGTTTGTGTGGCTCTAAATTGTTTTTACTTTATTTTTAATTTATCAATTTAATATCAACCACATAAACCCACTTTTTTAATACCCGTATCAATCCCTCTTATCCCAATGTTAGTGGGAGGGAGGCAGTAACAATTATTTTATGGTGGAATTTAATAGTTATTTTTAATTTATAGACACATGGTAAAACATATGAAAGAGTAAGGATATTCAATTTGATAGAAAAGTAATTAATAAGACAATCAATAAGATATAACTAGAATTCATGAAATGAAATGTGGCTAAACATTGTAATAGAATGACATGTGGCAAATATTTCCTTCAATGTGACTCTCAGTTGTATAATACGAAGTATATAGATATAAATATAGATACCGAATTTGGTAAAGCTTGTGTGCCTCTAAATTATTTATACTTTATTCTTACTTATCAATTTAATATCAACCACATAAAGCCACTTTTCTTAATAACCGTATCACTCCCTCTTATCCCAATGTTAGTGAGACGGAGGTAGTAACAATCATTTTTTGGTGGAATTTATTAATTATTTTTAATTTATAGAAACATGGTAAAACATATGAGAGAGTAAGGATATTCAATTTGATAGAAAAGTAATTAATAAGGCCAGAGATAGAGCTATAGCCAAAGCCAAGGGGGCCATGACCCCTCCCAACTTTTCATTTTTTAATTAGTAGTGTAGTTAGGTTTTTATTTTTGCTCTCCAACCTATTATTCTTTATTACGGAGTACCCCATCTGCCCCCTATAATTGTCCCATTTTTTCATTTTTGGATGTCCTTTTATTATTGTTCCATACCATATTTGGTAACATTTGTGTGACTCTAATTCATTCTTACTTTATTTCCACTTTATCAACTCATTACCAACCACACAATTCTACTTTTCTTAAAAACCACATCACTCCCTTCTGTACCAATATTAGGGGGACGGAGGGAGTATTACTTAGTCCGTAAGTGTGCAGCTGTGCATCACTGCTACATAGCATCAAGTGGAGTAGTGCATCACTACTTCCTTATTATTTCTTGACTGTAATATCAAAGAAAAATAGGTTTGGGATATTATTTTAGAATAGTTGGATTCTAAATGATTCTTGATTCAATTAAAAATTTAGAATATTATTTTACAAGACTTCAACCTACTATTAGCAGTGTTGGGATATTATCTAGTATCTACTAATTAAAATTTAATGAAATATTATACAAATTTATTTTAGAGTCTGCATATTTTTGTGGCATGTAAGAGCCAAAAACAGAGAGAACGAACATTTTCCTACTAATTAAAATTTAATGAAAATCGATATACAAATTAAAATTTATATCGATACATTATTTAATGAAATATTATACAAATTTATTATACAATATTATCTTCAACCTACTAATTCACATCACGTGTGATCATGTGTTTTTGAATGTTTTAAATGAATATCGATACATTATTCAATATTTATTGTATTTTTATTTTATATGTTACTCCGTATTATTTTTTATTTCACCCCGGCCCCCCTCTCAATCGCATCCTGGCTCCGCCCCTTAATAAGGCAATCAATAAGATATAGCTAGAACTCATCTTCAAATGGCATGTGGCTATGCATTGTAATAGAATGACATGTGCCGAATATTTTCTTCAATAAATCGGGTTTAATGCATTAAAATCCATGTGATATGTAAGTTTGGCCTATTAAACCTATGCGATTTAAAAAATGTGTCAAACTCTGTCATAATTATTCATACGGCAAAACTGCCTCCAAGAACAAATTTAATAATTTAAAAATCACTCATCTTAATATTGTGATTAAATATGCATGCAAGTTTGTCAAAATCTTCACAAATATTATTCATTTTTTATTTGGCAATTAAATTTGTTCTTAGAGGGTTTTGCACATGAAGAATTATAACATGGGAGTGATGCAATTTTAAATAACATGAAATCAATGCGCCAAATTTTGTATATCACCAGGAAGTTTTGTGCATTAATTAATCTCATTTAAACTACTTCGTATTTATTCTTTTTAGTAAAGAAGATTCGCTCGAAGGAATAGTCATAACAAATTGAGTTTTGAAGATTCACTTTTTTCTTTTGTTAGTAAAGAAATCTTTTTAGATCTACAAGTCGTTACCAAAGATTTTTTTTACATGTAATAATTTTTAGAAGCTGCCGGTGAAGAAGTGACTTTCTAAGATAGATTAGGCAACTTAGCTTAAATTTGGTTTCTGCCTAATTATGTCCAAAATCACACACATCTACTTCTTGCAACCTCTATATATTAATCAAAATTCAGAACACATATAAAATCATTCTGTGTCCATTCTGGTCTAGTTTGAGACCAAATCGAACCAGAAAATTTTGAGAAGAATGTCGTCTCTACCGCTCCAACCTCTATACTATCCATATGACAATGTCCCAATTCTTCCGAGTGACAACAATTACACTGTCCCATCTCTATCAACGGCGTCGCCGCCGTCAGGGTGGTCGCTTTCTAACATCGGGTCGTTCCGGAAGGCGTATTTGGTGGTGGGGGTGATCTTGGTTTTGAGCTTTTTGTCCTGCATTGCCAATAGGATGTGCACCAAAAGAAGCATCACTCCTGTTAGTAATGAAGGAATGAATAACTTGGAGTTGGGGAAAGATGAAGCGGTCAACCATCAACCTACCTTCATGCATGCAGTCTAATAATTAATAATGTTATGGCAGGGTTGACGAGGAGCTCGTTTATTTGATTCATCTTATTTAATTTCTTAGAATTATTTAAAATTTAGTGGCATTGTTTAAGTAATATTGGCATTACTATAATTTCTATGTGATAGTCAACAAAGACAAGACCATTTGAGTATAAATGTTTGTCCTTCAATTCATCGGCTAAATTTAAATAAAAAAGAGCAACTTATACTAATATGGATGGAGTCCTATATATGTCAATATGGTCCAACTGTGGGTTTTTTAACATCTATAATTCTGAGTAAGACAGTTTAGAAAGATTTGGGCTATTTGTTCACTTCAAATTATTTAGCTTGGTTTAAGCCAATTACTAACTTAAAGATAATCGACCTTTTTAGAGCAACTCCAATAAACACCCAATTCCACACCAAAATGTGGAATATTATTAGTAGTTCCGTATGAATTACTAACTTAAGATAATCGACCTTTTTAGTAGTCAAATTATGAAAATCTCTAATTTTTTTATGGAGATTTATAAAACACTAAGGATGTTTTTATTTGGACTGTTTTCAATTCCAAATCAGACAGACTTAAACAGAACAGATCAGATCAGACTTAAACAAACAAGATCAGATCAGACATGACTTCCGTAGTTATAAGATACACATAGAGCAGACATTAATCAAATCAGACCATACCATATCAGTTCAAACCATACTAGATTTAAACAGAACAGATCAGATCAACAAATTTAAGTCTAAGTAAAAACATCCTAAGTGCCCAATAACCATGCAATGTAATTTAATTTGCATCGTTCTGTTCTTATACGTTCTGTTTTTGGATCACAAATGTATGGGTGGTGTGTTTTCATCGTATTAGTTCAAGATGGGACGACCGGACGACCATCAATGTATACCTTCATTGTCACCTCTAGTGGATTGTCCACGCAAATACCTTGTTTTTACCTTTTTGTAGTTCCCCGACTTTAACCAGGAGCCTGTTTGGTAACCCTCAAATAGCAAAATTGGTTAATTTGATGAAATTTATCAAGTTGTGGTTAAAGCGGTCAAATTCTGCTGATTTATGAAAAAAAATATATTTAAATTATACTGCACATTATATTAATAAAATAATGAAATGTTATATGAGAAATAACTAAAATGGTCATCTACCATAACATCAATCAAATCAGCTAGAAAAGTAACTTCAACCTTACATGATTTGATTATTACACATGTCAATACGTGAAATCAAAAGTTATGTGCTTAGTTAAAAAGTTGGTTGATAAAGCCGATAAGTCAAAAAACAGGATTAGCGAACCGCCTCTAGATTATACGTAGTATGTAGTACTATTTGTCAGCTTGATCTTCTAAGATGATCGACCTTGAGTGAACTTCTATGTCGTGTGAGTTTTTATGTATACATTGGTGTCAAAGTATACATACGCTAAGAGTATGTTTGTGAGTTTGAGGGTGGGGAAAGTTGAAGGCTTTGAATGGGAGTAGAGAGAAGGGAAGGAGTGGCCTGCAAATAGGAAGAAATTTCTTCCTCTTGTTGGGAGTTACAAATCTGAAAAGAGGGAGGTTTTGGGGGATTCATGTACCCTTTTTCATATACAAATCATGAAGTTCTTTTGTTAAAATATCATAATGTCTATTTAAATAATCACAATATTTAAAATCACATTCCAATGTACACATCATTAAATAGAAATTATTTCAATTAAAATAATTGAAGTTGAATATATCCATAAACTTAGGGAAAAGGTGCAAATAAGCCCTCGAACTAATCGAAAAGGTGCAAATCACCCCTTTTATATGAGGCTATGTCTGGCCGTCGCCATTTGGGGCGGTTCCGGTAGAATTTTTTGATGAATTGTTTTGAACATCTTCTTCAAATTTCAGCTCATTTCAGCTAAAATAAGAAGGTAGTCAAGTGATTTTCTGAAATATACTGTGTTGTTTAACTACGCAGTTATCTTCAAACATTTATTTGACTGCCTTCTCGATTGCATTTTTAGCTGAAATTTGGTATGGGTAAACTAGACTTAATGAAAAAGATGCTCAAAAAAATCGATTAAAAAATTCCACAGGGAACCGCCGCAAATGACGACGGCCGGACAAAGCCTCCTATAAAAGAGGTGATTTGCACTTTTTCGATTAGTTCGAGGGCTTATTTGCCCCTTTTCCCATAAACTTACTATATATCTACCCAAACTTTTGACAAAAAATTAAAGCGAAATGAAACATGAAGTATAAAAAAGAGATCATTAATTTCAATGATTGTAGGACAATATTATCTAAGTGTATTAAGATTCACATTTTATTTCAAGAAGTAACAATTACATTTATCTAGAACGTTCAAGTCAAAAACATAAGAAAATCAATGGCCTCCAAATAAGATTGACTTCCGCACACATTTCCCTTCACAATTGGCCTGCAACCAAAAAGAAAAATTCATAAATAGAATTTAAAAAAAAACATCAATAACATATCTAAAAGTTACATGTAATAATTACATAAATAAAATAAATTTATCATCACTTTTATCATTACGACCAAAACTAAAATTTTATAACTTAACAACATACAAAAATCTTAAACACCTTTATCAAATAATGTCATCATTACATTTATCATCATAACCAAAATTATCATTTTCATAAGTTAACAACAAATTTAAAATTTCAAACATCAAAATTATGTATCGGAGTACGGAGTATTAGATTAGTTGATTCTTAAATGGAATCAATCACGTGTTGCCTTTTTTGATAGCAAAACATTTATGTATATAGTTCAAAATATATACAAACAAGCAAGTTTTTGATGATCTCTTAACACCGACATCAAAGAAAAAATTCCCAAGAAAACATTAAAGGGGAATGCAAGAATTGCTTCATAAAGCCTTTCAAGAAGACAAAATTCAACACAAATACAAAGACACCCTCGCTGCAATGTTGATCGGACATGTTTGAACACCAGGGGGATTGTTAGAGCATTTTATTGTGTCCAATCTAGTCAAATATCTTTGAATTTGTGTAGCTATTCTGATTATAATTTAGAGTGTACCAACTTAATGTTATGGGCTTATTTTGTTGAAGATTGAGCCTTGTTTTGAATGCTAGAGCAGTTACCCGACCGGGTACGTTGGGTTACCCGATCGGGTATGAGGATGGATTTACCCGGGCAACTCTCTGGAAGTCATACCTGGCCAGGTATATATGATTTACCCGACCGGGTATGTTGAAAGTCTGAACCAGAGGAGATACCGCCTGGCTACCAGACCGGGTATCGTGGAGAAAGGCATCGAGATCATGATACCCGACTGGGTACAGGGGTTTACCCGACCGGGTATGCGGGAAAAATAGAAGTGCGTTTTTTATTTTTGGGCTTGCGGCTCTAATTTGTGTTTAGGTTTTCTAAGACCTATTTAAACGACTCTTATGTACTTGTAAACCCTGACGCGCCGACATAATAATATACTGCTCTCTCTCGTTCGTCGTGGACTACCACAATCACCGCGATTGTGTGAACCACGTAAATTCTTGTGTTCTAGTTCTTTAATTTATCGTTTTACTTAACCTTAATCGTAACACGTGGTATCGGAGCTATGGCTGATGAAGGGAAGGTTAAATCGATAAATTTGATGGTCAAGATTTCGCTTTCTGGAAGATGCAGATTGAAGATTATCTCTACCAGAAGAAGCTGCATCCACCCTTGTATGAGAACAAACCAGAAACGATGGCGGGGGCGGAGTGGAACTTGCTGGATCGACAGGCTCTTGGTGTGGTGAGGTTGTCATTGGCGAAAAATGTTGCTTACAACATCGTCAACGAGAAAACAACGTTTGGACTGCTCAAGGCGTTATCCAACATGTATGAGAAACGCTCAGTGGCGAAAAAGGTTTTCTTAATCAGAGAGTTGGTGGACACAAGGATGAAGGAAGGTGCAGCCCTGACAGATCATGTCAATGAGTTTTATTCAATCATATCCAGGTTAGGTTCAGTTGAGATTAAATTCAATGATGAAGTTCAAACATTACTTTTGTTATCATCTTTGCCCAATAGTTGGTCCGGTACAGTCACAGCAGTTAGTAGTTCGGCTGGAACTACTAAGCTTACCTTTGAAGGTATTCGTGATTTGATCCTTGGTGAGGATATCCAGAGGAAGAGTATGAGGGAGAGCTCCAACAGTTTGTTGAGTACTGAAGACAGGGGCAGAAAATCCAACAAAGGAGGTAACAGGAGAGGGAGGTCATAGTCGAGGAAGAGAGGTCAATCCAAGAACACGTAGGACATCAATTGTTGGAATTGCAAGGAGAATTGGACACTTCAGAAATCAGTGCCCAAAAAGCCTCTGCAGACAAAGGCAAAAAGGAGGTGAACGTGGAAGATGATTATGAAGATGTTCTAATTTGCAGCGTTGAGAATTCAATTGAGTCCTGGATCATGGATTCAGGTGCGTCGTTTCACGTCTGTCATTGCAGGGAATTGATGCAAAATTTCAGGCTCTACAACGAAAGAGTTCATTTGGCGGATGATAAATCCCTGGAAATCACGGGTATTGGGAATGTTGCCCTCAGTACCACCTTGGGTACGACCTGGAAGCTGAAACATGTGCAGTATATTCCAGACCTGAAGAAGATGTTGATCTCAGTAGGACAACTTGATGAGGAGGGCCATAACGTGAGTTTTGGCAAAAAACAATGGAAGGTAACAAAGGGAAAGGTGGTCATTGCTCGTGGACAGAAGCATGGTACACTGTACATGTTTGAAGTGTCCGCAGATGGAGCAAACGCAGTAGTTGAAGGTACAGGGTTCTCTACTTTGTGGCACCAAAGGCTTGGGCACATAAGTGAGAAACGAATGAAGATGTTGTCTTCAAAGGGCAAATTTCCAGATTTGAAGAATTCAAAGTTGAGCTTTTGTGAGCCATGTGTTCTTGGCAAACAAAAGAAGGTAACCTTTGTGAAGACATGACAATCTCCTAAGACAAAGAAGCTGGAGTTGATTCATTCAGATGTCTGCGAACCTACAAAGTTATCTTCAATTGGAGGTTCCCGCTACTATGTTACATTCATTGATGAATCTACATGGAAGGTATGGGATTATTTTCATAAGAATAAATGAGATGTCTTTAACACTATAAGAAGTTCAAAGCTGCAGTTGAGAATGAAACAAATCTTAAGATTAAGTGTTTAAAGAGTGTCAGTGGAGGTGAG